GTTATTATTTTCTGCTTCTGTCATTTCTAACTCATACTTTTCTAATAATGAGTTTGATAGAGAAAGCTTTATGCTTACAAAAAAGCTATACAATGGTATTACTGGATACAAAAACATAGAATTAAAAATAATTATATTTTATACCAATCTAAAAAAATAGTTCTTTTCATTATTGAAACGTTAAAAATTAGTGCAAAAAAAATGTTTCATATTATAGCCTTAGATATCGAATGAACTATGCCGGTCATGAACAAACCTTTGATAACTTAAATAAAAGAAAAGCAAAAGCTCAAAATGATCTTAATAACTATCTTGAAAGTATTAAAAAAAAGTATACCAAATTAAATTCTTCTCTTTTTAGAAAAAGACAAAGACCAAGCTTGCTACCTTCTTCTTCCTCAAAAGCAAAAAAGACTAATCTTCAGAATAATAATTCCACACCCCAAACCGATAACTCTCTTACTAATAATTTTTTACAGGCTATAGCTCAAATTAGAAATACTGAAATAGAGCTTCAAAATAATATCAATAATGATCAACCAACTATACTTGAATAGATTTTTCTAACTTTTATTTTCACTATTAAGTATACAAATTTAATTTTTTTGGTTTTCATAAATCAAATTTAAAAAAAATTTTGTTTTGTATATGCTTACAAATAAATAAATTTTATGCTTTTTTCTTTTTTTGAAAAAATGTCAAATATAATTAATATCTGTAAAATAATTCCTGATATCATGCTTTTCAAATCAAATTTCATGCATCATATATCCAGTAATAGTGCAGTATGCAATTATTGATTTAATTTTGTGTATTATCAGCTCTATATATATATAAAGCACTTATAAATTTTTTTATGTATATTTTTTTTGTGTTTTCACCAATAAATTTTTTTGAATTTATAATACTGCTAAGAATTGAGAATTTATTAAAATGCATACCTGTGATTGGCTAATACTACACAATTATATCTAAAAATTTTATATAAAGTAGAAGCTATTCTGTGATTTATTAATATAGCAAATCACATATAGTATGATTAAGGTCTTTATATTATCTATTACTTAGAAACTAATGCTCCTTATGCCATTCAATTAATCTTACTAAGACATCAACAATTGCCTTTAATTTATATAGAATAGTTAATACTATAATTGCCCATTATACTACTAGTATTACAAATTGCTAAAATTTTTTTAATTGAATAGTTGGTTAATTATTGTAGTAGCTGAAGCTGAAAATTTAATCTATTTTATTATAAAAATTTTAAAATTTTTGGGATATATTTTTTTAACTTTTTTTTAGAGTTAAGAGTTAGCTTTATAGATAGAATTTATAATAAACATGTACAAGTAGATTTTAGTAAATTTTATAAATCTAAATTGAGACTCCAAATTTTCAGCTTTAGCCAATTTCACGATAATTTATACAATTATTTTTCAGTTGACTACAACTAATCCATTAAACCAGTTTATGCAAACTCTGCTTATATAGTATCAAATATTTTTTAAACTTTAATTTCACAATAATGGCTAATCATCTTCAATATTCATAACTATTCTTGAATTTTACTATTTATGAGATTTGAAAATAGTCTTAAATATCAAAAACAACCAGAAATTATTAAAATAAATTCACTTAAAGTTTGAACTAAAATAATTAAAAATATTAATATTTCTTAATCAAATAATCACAAGATATTGTATATAAATGGCTGATATACAAAAAAAAAACCCAAATCTTTGGAATTGCGACTTTTTAAGTTACAAGTTTTAAAAAATAAAGTATTTTACAAATTTTATAGATAAATAGCATAAAATTTAAAATTGTATTTTAATAGCTAGGATCTATATTCGAGAATTTTATTTTTAAATTAATTAGTATATAATTATCCTTAACTTTATTATTCTTTATACAGCTGATCACATTCTCTAAATAATTATTATATGATATAATTAATATATCAATCTACACTTATTTTAGTAACTAATGGTCTTTCATATTCCTTAATTAAATTACAAATAATGTATACATAAAAGCAATCTTATATATATCAAACTAATACTAATCCAATTCTTAAAAACAGATAGCTTTATTGAGAATATGCAATAGGAATTAATATTATTGAAAAATAAATTAGCATATATTTATCCACAAGTTTATTCTTTATTATGAGTAGTTGTATTTTTTAAATAATTAACAAATCAATGCCAAGCTTATTAATAACTAATACTCTTTTGTATAGTTCTAAATTTGATCACAAATCATGCATACATAAAGGAAATCTTATATATACTAGAGTAATATTGATTGAATATTTAAAAATGAATAATTCTATCGAGAATACACAAAAGAAATTAAAAATATGTTACAATGCATAAGCTATTGTTTCTTAAAAATAGGCTTCACAATCAGTGTTTGGTATACTAAGTAAAAATTTGTTGATATTTAATAACGCCCTAATGAAATAATAAAAAAAAAGAAAATCATTGATTTCTCAAAATTATTGAAGCTTTTTTTGCTAAATAATCAAATCTATATATTACTATTTATTATTAAAAAAATTTAAGTTATTGATTCAAATATATATATTATTAGTTTTATTAAAGAATTTGTCAATACAGAAAAAGGTATCTAGAATAGCTTTCAATGATGATATGAAATATAAATTTATAGAAACTATTAAACGTACATTTTACAGAATTAAATCAATTATCACGTTATTAATCAATTTTAAAAATCAAATGTATAAAAATACTTTCTCTTGGCTTTACTTAAATTTTTCTCAAAACTTGATTCTATATCAGCAAATTTAATAGAGCATAATATTGCACAATAAATTACACAATGTAAAATAACCATAATATTATGCAAGATATTGTGCAATAATGCAAACTATACATTTACAAAATATTATATAAAATTATTACTAAATATTACATAAAATATTGCGAAATATTTCGCAATATTTTGCACAATATTACAAAAGAAATATTTTAACATAATTCATAAGTTCAAAATAAATAAATATAAGGTGGATAGAATAATTATAAAATGAATAAAATGAATAATGTTAAATTAATTCAAAATAATTCAAAATAAATTGAATTAATTTGAAATAATTCAAAATAAATTGAATTAATTCAATTTATTTAGAAGAAAAATTATAAATGATGACCTTATATAATCGGCTAATTATTTTCAAGATCGCTGATTATATATAAACAATTAATAATCGCTTGTTTTCAATTTTTGTTTTTCATTTTGCTTAACTTCAGGATTAGGTATGTGCTTTTAATTTTGTTTTTTTTTTTTTTTTATTGAAGATTTTATTTTAATTATTTTTTTATTTTTTTTTCGCCTTGCTTTTTTTTTAAGCATAAAGCTTTCTCTATCAAACTCATTATTAGAAAAGTATGAGTTAGAAATGACAGAAGCAGAAAATAATAAC